GGGTAGCTCAGTGCCAAGAGCAAGGCTGGAGATAAGCTCAGCCAGGATGCAGGAGCCCAGTCAAGGTCATGCTACAGCCGGCATCACTGCCATTGGCCATATGGCCCCGCCACTAAAATGGGGCCACCAGTGTCGTCCCAGCTGCTGTAAATAATTCCTCAACCATGTCTGCTGTGAGCTCACGATTACAGTACCAGGAGTGAGCATCTGATGGGGTCGACTTCTGGTGTGCTGCATCCACTCTGTGCTTCCAGAACACGGGGAGAGAGCTGATCTGGCCCCTGTGGCTCTAGGAGGAGGCAGGACTTGGCCAAAACTCACTCTCTGGAGGGCTGGCCAAAGAGGAAGGGTGCTGAGATGCTGGGCAACGAAAGATGATGACCAAAGGCCACCACCCCACATGCCTTTGGCTGCCCAACACACACACTTTTCATAGCAGAGAGAACGCTCCCATCTGACATAACTGTGCCTCGTGGCTAAACAGTGGCTCGTCCCTTCTCTGAGGGGGAAGGGAGGCAACCCACAGCTGCTTCATCGGGTACTTGGTCCTGCTCCCCATCTGGGATATGTGGGAGATGTCTCTTCCTCCTCTACTTCTGTCATGCCTCCTCTGTGTATTCTAGAATCTACAGATCCAGGTTGGCTCCCGTGACATGCCATATGTCACGGTGCAGCCTTCTCCTACCACACACCAAGGGGAGGGAGGTTGTCTTGTCTACTTGAGCCAAGATAACCTGCTGCACCAGACTGAGGCAGAAACGGGGGTGCAGCTGCCCTCTGTTGAGCCAAACATTAAAGGGATTTGCAGAAGTGCCAAACAGTGACATTCTTCTTGCTAAGATTTTTGTTTGTTTGTTTAGAAACTATGGCTATTGTTCATAAATATATGTTATTTTTTATTAACAAGGAATGGATTTATTGTTTTAAAATGAATTAATAAATATTTTTAAAGTTACTGGCTTTAATTTCTACAATGATCAATGTTGATAGATAGGGCTCACGTAAACGAGCTCTGAAGGGCTGCTGCCTTGTATTGTAGGGGGAGAGAGAGGAAAGAAGAAAAATTTCACAGCACGGGCACTGGCCCGGGGCATGGAGTGGAATGAGGAAAGTGTCAGTCAGGATGCATTTGGCCCTGAAATATATTCAAACATATATGACCTATCGGGGAAGGAGAAATATTACAGGCTCCTGGCCTTATTTCTGCAACAAATCACAAGACGCTTCCTCTGCTGTTAGTCCCCAGCCCTCTGTTCTCACACCTTCCTTGCTGCGGGGGTCTGAGCTCTTTGTCGCCCCTGCTGGCAGAGGGTTGCTGGGGGTCTTTCATTCCATTCACCACTAGACATGGAAGTACTAAGGGCAGCCGGGGACCGGGGGCGCCTGGATTCTGGCCGTAATAATCCCGTCTCTCTGCCAACGTGTTGGGGCAGTAACGCTCTCCCTCAAATCATCCAAAGGGGGTTACCGTGTTGGCTGGGGTGACCGATCCTGACTAGCAGAGGTCACTATGAGTTGGAACTGACTCGACCCCAGCGGGTCTGGTTTTGGGTTTAGTGCGGGGGGATAGGGACGGCCACCGGCACCCCAGAGCTTACAGGCCACCCTCCCGCGTTTCCAGGATGTCTTGTTTGTTAAACAGCTTCACGGAGGTGAGGGGTGGGGACTGGGGCTTGAACACTTTATCCACCCGGGCAGCACAGAGCTCTCTCCCTCCCCCAGCCACCCCTCCTCTGCCTCTCATGGGTGTGTCACCATCCTCACACCCCGAACCCTAGGCCTCAGCCCCAGCAGGCCTCCCAGCCCCTGGCTCGCACTCACACCCTGAGACCCTTCGGGGAGCATGAGCAAGATGCACGTGCAGACTCTGGGACCCCACATCCCATCACGTGCCTC